GCTGAGGGGAGCAATGGGCGAGACAGGAGAGGTCTGCTGCACCTTTGGGTTAGCTCCCTAGCCGAGGATTGAACTATGGCAGGTTCATGGTATGATGGGAGTTGTAATCCTTGACTCCTGGGATTTTTTTTGGCATGGAGCTGGGGGTGGAGTCCCACCCCCAGTATTCAGGACAGTATTCCCACCCCCTATTCAGGACATACTGTTCTCCCAACAGTATGGACTAATTCACAAACCCATTAGCATTAGTGAGTGAAGGGATTTGTCAACTGAAGCCTAAAGGACATCTTTGGTCTTTGCCTGCACATGGACTGCCCACTCCTCTTGTCTACCTATTCAAGGTCTCTCTTGCTTCCTTCAGATAAAAGCAAGCTTCAGGCTAAGCCCTGCCTCAGAGACATGTTGATAGCCAAGAGGACAGGTATTACAAGGCAGCCATCACTGGCTAAATGGTGATTCTGGGAAGAAGAAGGAATGTTTGCAAAGTTATGTTCAGCTGGGCTATGCTAGCTTGAAGGGCAGCCAGGATTGCCATGGAATGAACATTGGTGTCCCCATCATCATGAACACTAAGGGAGAGAAATGGTAGGATGCCTGGGAAGCATGAGGGCTGAAAGAGATAGTATAAAAGAAGATTTTGATGGAAAGAACACAGTCCTGTAAAAACACCCTGCAAACCTCTGCTTCAAGTTGGCCTGATTCAAAACTTGTGACAATTTTGATATCCTCTATGCTTGTGATGGAGCAGTCAGGCTGCGTGCAAAGCAGCAGCAGTGATTAAACTTTGGAATTGGTTGCTGTGGGTGTTCCCTGCCTGGAGCTCTTCTCCCAGAAACCCCATGTCAAATCAAACACCTTTATTAGATTTGGTTTTGACACTTGCACACTTTAGGTGTTCAATAACTTGCAGAGTTGAACTGCATTTTAAAATAGAAAAGGATATTATGATTCAAATCAGATGGAACAAATCCTTTTTGGTGTGTTTATTTGAACTCAGTGTTAATGCTCTTCATATGATAAACTCATTCTTTGATAGACTAAATGTCTGGTGTAAGCATCAGTCTATTTTAACTGAAAACATGAAATCAATTTTATTTTGTCATATATGAAAATATTCTTCTAAATTTGTGACACATGCTGATATTTATATATTTATTTATTCTGATATGTATTTATTGCTGATAGTTTATATATTTATTTATGCTGATAGTTGTATATTTAACACATATCTATGAGTTAGAAAATTCTAACTATCCTTGGGCCCTTTTGGAAATTTTACTACAGATAAAAATTGACTGGGCATAGATAAACAGTTTCTGTAAACAGATCTTTGAATGCTCTTCCTTACAAATTATTCTCTAGTATATATCTGTTGCAATGCTGAAAAATGTTTATGCATTGTAAACAAAATGCTTCCTAACTACTGTTTAATAAATAATTAGATATCAATTTTCAGTTTTTACAGGACTATTCCAAACAGAATTCTTTCAGAAGATTCTCTCTGCTTGGTGACTATATTCTCTTCTTGAGTTTAACTCTTTACCTAACTCAGTTCAGACTCGACACATAAATATGTTCTCTGTCCCTTTGTGTATCCCATTTTATCTTAAATTATTGCTTCCCCCTCTCTGACCCTTGTTTACTATTTAAATTTGGAAGGGACTTTACTGGTCACCTACTCCAACCCCCAAGAGCTTATTAATGATAAGTAATGGTAAGTAATAATGATGTACTTGCTGAAGTAGTTAGCATTAAAAGAATAGTTGTTCTAATGCCTAATCCTTGGCATCTGTTTCAGTTTTTGTGTCTTTTTGGCATTACTTTTCAAAAGATCTTTCCTCTCTGGTCATTTAAAACACATTACTACTAAATCAGATTGCTCTTGTGATACATTTACATGATCTAAAGTGAAGTAAACCCGGAGCTATTCACTTGAGCTCATCTGAACTTGGGGTGTGTCTGGTTTCTTGATAAGGAGTACTAACCCAGTATTTTGCCCACTAGCTTAATGTGACTCTATCTTTTAATTTAGATATACTCTGACAGTAACATATTTGATGACATAGCCGGTTTACTGATTAAAAACTCAAGCTGTCTAGTTTTGTGTAATTCAAATGAAAGCTCATTTCTCAAGAAAGTTGATTCTGCTTGTGAGGACATGAGTTGGAATACTTTAAAAATAATAGCTCTAAAAGAAGCCAAACAGAGCAGGACAAATACTACATGGTGTCACTTAGATGTGAAATCTTAAAAAATAAAAGTCAAACTCATAGAATGGAAAGTAGTAGAGCGAATGTGAGGGGTAGGAGTAGAAGAGATAGGGAAAGTTTGGGGAAAAGATACACATTTTCAGCTGTGAGATGATTAAGGGCTGAGGATCCAATGCAAAACATGGTGACTAATGTTGATCATACTGTATTGTGTAGCTGAATTTTGCTTAGAGTAGAACTTAAACATTCACAGATAAACATGTGACGTGATGGATGTATTAATTAATTCCACGGGGGACTCTTTCCCAGTGTATGCATATATCAAATTACCACGGCATTCTCTTTAATATCTTACAATTCTGTATGTCAGTTATACCTAGTAGAGCTGAAATTAAAAATAACAGGTCTTAAACATGTTTGATTGATATCATTTATGCTTATGGATTTACTTATATTACTTCAAGCTCTCAAAACAATCTAAAAGTTGGAACTGAAAGAACAGGTTCCCATCCGAAACTAGAATAAACAGAACTGCTTTCTCTCAGTTACTTAACTTATCACCACCAATGCATATCTTAGGTTTATTTGTTGCTTAAATCTGTGTTACCATGGAACTATTTCTGAATACTTTTTTTGCCTATCAAATGCGTTATGATTTCAGCAAATCCTCTGATTCCTATCCACTCCCTGCCTCATTCTTCTTCCCAGCCCATCAGACCAGTGAGTGAACCAAGAAGCTATTTTGGTCTGAAGGTTTAAAAAATGTGCTATTATGGTAGTTGAGAATGACAATTAAAAGAGTAATAAAAAAAAGATTAAATTAGCAGAGAGTTGAAGTTAATTCAGTAAATTTTTTTGTCGGTACTATTTGGATAGCTCTGGCTTGAGGTGCCTCAGGAGACAGATGTTATTAAGACAGACTTTGGAAAGGTTTGAATAGCAAATGGAATATGGGAAGATTGAAACTTACTAAAAGGACCAAGCAAATGGGATGGCTGTTTGAATATGTAGCTAGATAATTAGCATTATAAGAGAACTCTGTTTGGCATATTCCTGGATTTCTTTTAAAAATCAACATTCAGGGGAGCCTGGAGAATATTCTCTGTGTGATTATGTCCTCTTCCCTGCAATGTGAACAAATTCGTATCGTGACCTGGGTGATAAACATGCTGGGAGCTGTCGTTCGTTCTATTGATGGTTTGAATTTTTTAAATTGAATATCGCGTAGTTATAAAAGAATGTTTCAGAAGTAGGTGGAAAGCATAAAGAGCGTAAACGTTATTTCTGTAATGTGTTGTACCTTCTCACATGCTAATCCTATTACCTTCACTTCCCTTTGGACTTTGTGTTTGCTTTTCTTTATAGCTTCACCACACATGTTTAATCATTTGCATGTTTTTGGACTTTATCCTATGGAATTTTATAACATGTCTTTTTTCATTGCTGAGTACATGCAACTATATTAATATGCCATAATTTCTAATTCCTTCTAATTCCTTCTGTTGATAGGCATTGGGGTTATTTCCTTTCTGTTCAACACTATTTTATAGAAACCTAGTTTAGATTTGGTTTGCTATGATTGTAAGGAATGGTCACATCTGTCTTAACAAGTGTATTTGACCTGCAGTTCTCCTATGTTGCAATAACATTTTTAGATTTTGCTATCAAGATTACTCTTGCTTCAGAAAATGAGTTGGAGAGTGTTCTCCATCCCCCTCTCTTTTTATCCTTTTTTCTGTAAAGCTAAGTATTCTTTTGAGATAAGATTTTAAACTGCTGACAGATTTTCTACTGTTACAGAATTATTCAGTTTCTCTACTTCTTAAGTCAGTTTTGGTAGGTTACAGTTCTTTTATGTTTTAAATTTTAGCTATGCATAGTATCCTCTTATTTATTAAGAATATATTCATGGGCCTCCCCGGTGGCGCAGAGGTTGAGCACTGGGTTGCGAGGCTGCCCGCAGCATCTGCAGCGCCGGTTGGATCACCAGCCACCAGGTGAGGGCCCCACAAGGTGCGCAGACCTCTCCTGCCGCCCACTGCTCCCCTCAGAGTGTACTTCGTCAGTCTGCCTGCTCTGCTTTCCGCTTTGGCTCTGGTGAATTCTCTCACCCTCTCGCACTTCTGACTGTACCCAGTGCTTGTATAAATAAATAAATAAATCTTTAAAAAAATTAATATATTCATGACACTCCTTTATTCTCTGCAGCACCTGTACTTCCCTCTTATTTCTAATATTGATTGTTGGTACTTCCTCTCTTTTATTCTTGGTCAGTCTTACTAGAAGTATGACAGTTTTGTTAACTTCAAACAAAAAGTAAACGTAGCATTTTCAATTGTTGTAGATTGGGTTTTCTGCTATGTTAATTTCTGATATTATCTTTTTTAATTGCCTTTCTTCTATTTCCTTCAGCTCTGTTTTGGTGGGTTTTCTCCCTTGTCTCTACAGTAGCTGCTTAGCTCATCCTGACTTTTGAAATGCTACAACTATTTTGACACTCTTTCCTTCCAAAAAATGGACCCAAATTTTTCTCCTCTTAAATATGAGCCAGATTTAGGGTCTAATTTCTTATGAAAAGAATATGCCAGAAGTGATGTTATGTGACTTCCAAGAATAGCTTACAAACAGAACAACTTCTGCCCCTAGTTTTTCTTTGGATCACCCACTTGGGAGAATTAGCACCAGCTAGTGAGTATGTGCGAGTACCTGTCTGTGGAGGGTCATGAGAAGGGAAACGGAGGCTTCCTCCCAACAGCCAGCACCAACTTGTTAGCTTTGTGAGTCAGTTACCTTGGAAATGGATGCTTCTGCGCCAGTCAAGCCTTCCGATGATTACAGCTTTGGCTACATGACTATAGTCTGATGAGACACCTCCATCAAGAACTATCCAGCCAGACTGTTTCAAATTCCTGACAAAATCTATGAGAGAGGACCAATAGTTATTGTTTTGAGCCATTAGCTTTTGGCGTCATTTGTCTTGTAGCTAGAAAAGTAATGTATTCACTAAATAGCACCCTTTCTTCTGCTCTAATAGAGGCTTTTAAATGCTATAAATTTCCCTCTGTGTATTGTTTTGGCTGAATCCTGTAAGTTTGGATAGAACTTAACTTCTTCAAGAGAAAAATTAATAACATCCTTAACTTTCTCTCAAAACATACAGAAAACTTAGAAGACTAACTCCTTTAACACCCTCCTCTCACATACAGGCTATTGTTAACTTGTATTTTAATTACAATTGACCCTTGAATAATGAGGGAATAGGGGGATTGGTAAAGGGTGCTGACCCCTTTTGCCTAGTAACTGAAAATCCACGGATAACTTTTGACTCCCCCCAAAAGTTACCTACAGTTGTTCCTTAGAATATTTGAGGTTGGTTTCAGGACCTTTCCCCACACCACTCCCCCGCCATGACAAAATCCATGGAAGTCCCGTATTGTGTGCCTTCCGCATCCGCAGATTCAATTAAACCAGCCAACATCCTTTGTTGGTTGAATCTGTGAATGCAGAACTGCAGGTAGAAAAAAAATCCACGCATACGTAGACTCAAGTGGTTCAAATCCTTGTTTAAGGTTCTTCTTTTTATTTGTATTTTTTAATTTTAATTACAATATTTTCTGTGAAGTAACATTGATTTACAGCATTGCATATGTTTTAGGAGTATAGGTTCAGTCTACTCCCACCACCAAAGAACCAATTATCTAACCTTCCAATGTATTATTATTGCTTTTTAATGCAGCTTTAATTTTGCCACATCGTTACCACTTTCTTTTCTCATAATTTCTTCTTACAGACTTTCTGTCTGAGAACATTCCTTTTTTTCCTGAAATATGTCCTCTGGAATTTTCTTTAGTTTGGGTTTCACACTTTCTCAGTGATTGTTTATTTATTTATTTTATTTATTTTTTTAAAGATTTATTTATTTATTTATACAAGCACTGGGTACAGTCAGAAGCTTGGGAGGGTGAGAGAATTCACCGGAGCCAGAGTGGGGAACAGAACAGGCAGACTGACAAAATACACTGCTGAGGGGAGCAGCGGGTGGAAGGAGAGGTCTGCGCACCCTGTGGGACCCTCACCCACGCCTGGGGATCGAACTGGCGCTGCAGAGGCTGCAGGCAGCTTCTCAGCCCAGCGCTCAACCGCTGCGCCACCAGGGGAGGCCCTCTCAGTGATTGTTCAATCAAAAAATATTTTTCTTCCATTTTTGTTCTAAAGAGATTTTCACTGCATATGGAATTCTGGAGTGGCAATTATTTTTCTACCACCACAATGAATATTTTATTCCACTACCTTCCAGTTGAAGCTGAAAAATTTGCTGTCATCATCATTGTTACTCCTTTAAAAGTAATTTGATTTCTTTCTCACTTAAATATTATTTTTTCTCTTCAGTAGTCTGCAATTTCATGAGAATGTGTATTTTCCTGGGTCTCCTATTTATTTATACTGCTTAAGAATTGCCAGTCTTTCTGAATCTCTTGCTTATTGTTTAATCCATTTAGGAGATTCTAGTCCCTTACCTCTTCTCTCCCATTCTGTCTCTTCTACTTTGGGAAATCTAATTAGGTAAATAGCATATGTTCTTATTCTCTCATCCTCATCTATTAACCTTATGTTTTATATTTTGCATCTTTTTTTGAGCAGTTTCTATGTCTTATTCTCAGATATATTTAATCTGCTTTAAAGTTCATTCATTACATTTTACTTTTAATTCTTATGTTTCATTGCTAGCATTATTTTGATTCTTTTTTGAACAGTCATTTAAAATATGCTCTTACTCTTTAGCCACATTTTCAATTCGATTCTCAAACATGTTCAACTTAATCTGTTTTATATTCTGTGTTTGCTAATTCCAATTTCTGAGATTTGGGGATTTATATTTTGCTCTTTGTTGTTTCTGCTGGTTCTTACTCATGGTACCTTATTAACTGTGTGCTTTGTGATTTTTGATGATGTTTCTCCAGTGAAGATTTGTGTTCCTCTCACCAGGTGCTTGAGGGCACTGCTATATATTTTGACCCTTCCACCTAATGTGAATTTAGGCCATAAATGTTGTGGGAACATGAGTGTGATTTTGATTTCTCAAGGGAAATATTATCTTCTTCACTCACTTCCTGGATTTGAAACAGACAATTTCCCTTGTAATGGACCAAAACCTTTTGTATGTGGGTGATTCCTGCAATTTAATAGATTGCCTTCTATTGACTAGAACTTTGATTCTGATATGGAACATCCTGGAGAGCTATGATAAAATCCCAGAGTTTCTGAATCAGTAGATCTGGCTTGGGTACTGAATTTGATTTTTTTAATGTCATTTTTTTAAATTTTTAAATAATATTTGCTTTCCTCCACCCCCTCAGATTGAGTCCCCATAGAATTTCCTTCCCCAAGGCACCCGTGCACCATCACCACAGTCCCTTGTGCTCCTCCCTCCCTCCCTCTGATCCCTCTCCCTCCTCCTCCCCTGCAGGATGTCTCTGATCTATAATTGTCTGTTTTTGCTTTGTTGTGTTTTGTACTGCTATTATTTTTTTTACAGTGATGTCTTATTTGGTTCCCCTATATTTCTGTTATAAGTGAAACAATCTGATATTTTTCTTTTTCCTTCTGGCTTATTTCACTGAGCATAATTCCTTCTAGTTCCATCCATGTTGCTGTGAATGGCATGAGTTTATCTTTTTTGATTGCTGAATTATATTCCATTGTGTATATATACTATATCTTCTTGATCCGGTCATCTATTTTTTGGGCATTTGGGTTGTTTCCAGGTTTTACCTATTGTAAATAGTGCTGCAATAAACATAGGTGTACAGGTGTTCTTTTGAATCAATGTTTTTGTGTCCTTTGGGTAGATCCCTAGTAGTGGAATTGTCGGATTGTATGGTAGCTCCATTTTTAGTAGACTGAGGAACCTCCACACAGGTTTCCATAGTGATTGGACCAGTTTGCACTCCCACCAGCAATGTAGGAGAGTTCCTTTTTCACCACATTGAATTTGATTTTTTTTAAAGATTTATTTATTTATGCATAGAAGAATTGGGGTATAGACCAGAGGTGTGGGGGTGGGTGGATGTGTGTGTGTGAGAGAGGATTCATCAGAGACAGAGTGAGGAGCAAAAACAGGCAGATTGATTGAAGTACACTGCTAAGGGGACCAGCAGGCAAGACAGGAGAGGTCTGCATATGTGGCTTATCTCCCTGGCTAGGGATTGAACTCAGGCAGGCTGCAGCAGCGATAGTGTGACAGTGTTGAGACTTAACCCCTATGCCACCAGGAAATCCCCTAAATTTGAATTTTTAATGTGTTCTGAGTTAATACTGCTGCTACTGCTCAGTGTTAACAAGTGTGATGACCATACGTGGGAAGTCACTATATTAACTCATTTAATCCTCACACAGTCCTGGTAGGTGGGTGCTATTATGTTTCTTTTTTTTTTTTTTTTTTTTTTTTATAGAGGCATGTTTTTTATTTATTTATTTATTATATTTGTTTGTTTTGTTTATACATGCACTGGGTACAGTCAGAAGCGCGGGAGGGTGAGAGAATTCACCAGAGCCAGAGCGGGGAGCAGAGCAGGCAGAAGGACCGAAGTACACTGCTGAGGGGAGCAGCGGGTGGCAGGAGAGGTCTGCGCGCCATGTGGGATCCTCCTCCGGTGGCCGGGGAGCAGCCGGGGATCGAACCGGCGCCGCAGAGGCCGCGGGCAGCTTCGCAACCCAGCGCTCAACCGCTGCGCCACCGGGGAGGCCCGGTGGGTGCTATTATGTGCATCCTCTGCACTTTATAGATGAGAATCCTGACGCAGCTAGAAAAAAGGCTGGTGGTTAGAACAAGATTTTAAGCCCAGGCTGTCTGACTCGGGAGTCCAAGTTCTCATTAAAGCACGGTGCCACATGGCTTCTCAGTCAGCAAGTACTTATTAAGCCCCTACTATGTGCCTGCTATTTGACTAGCCAATATAAAAAATTAATTACATTTTTTATTCAGGCCCAGATGGTTTGAAGTTAGTTCACTTCTTACTGAACTTGCCACCAGCGTGGTTAATTTTGTAATGTCTGAGAAGGAAGTGGTGAACTGCTGGACATTTGTTGAAATCCAAGTGACAGTTGAGATACAGACGTTCAAGAAGTTAAGTTCTGAAGTTAAATCTGAAATTGTGCCTTAACCATGGCTGTCCTCATGGTACATTGTGGACTGCATAAATGCTCTCCAAAGTCAGCATTTTCTCGGCTTATGCAATATACAACTGAGAATTATTTTGTAGAGTATGTTTCAGGGGTGGGATTGAAAATCCCACTGTCTTACTGTCTTACTATGTCTTTATGTTGTAAGCCCTTAGCCTTTATTTACTTATCTTCTCTTTCAGCATTTTCTCTTGCAACTAGATTCCTGTATTGGGTATTGCTGGGGGAAATTCTGACTTGATCTTATTTTTTTAGTGTTGTGGAGAATACAAATTATGCTTCAAATGACCACCATTGGAAGGGAGGTGAGAGAAGGAAGTCAAGGAAGAGCGATGGTGTCATAACACTCCTTTTCAGACAAAACCACTCCCTACCAAGTTCCCTTTCCTGTGGGAGATCAGGGCATAGTCTGCGCAAGTACCAGCTAAGAAAAGAACCAAAATGTCTCTACATGTACTTGCAGTTCCTTCTCCAGCTTTCCATAAAAAGTAAAGGATGGTCCAGCACCCCAAATGCCAAATTGTTTATAACCATTTTTCTTTATGCATACATTTCAGGGATAAATGTCACCTTAGTTGATGGGAAATAGATACCTAGGAATGGCATCGCTGAGTCATATGGCAGATCCTTTTACAGTATTTTGAGAAACCTCTACACAGCTTTCCATGAAGTCTGGGCCAGTCTACATTCTCCTCAACAGTGTAAGAAGATTCCTTTTTCTTCACACCCTCACCAGCGATGGTTGTTTCTTGTATTTTTAATATGGGCCATTCACACAGGTGTGAGGTGGTATCTCATTATGGTTTTAATTTGCATTTCACTGATGATAAGTAATGATGAATGTTTTTTCATGTGCCTGTCAGCCATCCAAATATTATGGCTTTTTATTAAGTTTTATTAGGTAGTACGAGCAGAGTGCAGAGTACTAAATCATTTTTATCCTGGGGGAAAAAAGTATAAATGAAGAGATAGACAAACATTGAAATAAAAGAACTTTTGTTAAGTGTCTGTTGTATCCAGAACATTGTCTTAGATATTCTTAGATGTTTCTAGATGTCTTAGATGGGGATGGAGGGAAAGAAAAGCATATGGACACTGCTTGCAAACAAGACTTAGTGGTAAGCTTCATCCATTCAATGGATGTTTGAGAGCTTTGAGTATTATTTTCTCTTGATATTCTGGGAGAGGTAGAATTAAAGTACTGGAAAGTAGACCAAGCACATCACTTCACCTCATTCCATCTCATTTCAAGTCAACTCTTGCCCAACCTGA